GAGGATACTTTTGTGACATCAAAAATGATACAAAATGAATTATTTGGAATCTGAATAATTTACAAATAGGAAAAGATGAATTGTATTTTAAATTTAAAATGATTAGTTTTAGCTGAGGCATACACTAAAAGCTAATAATCAAAATTTTAATGTAAGGCAAGTGGCCTTTTCCCAAATCATTGTAGCTTTGCCCCAAGTTTATAGAAATACTGACTCACATAAAAATTAAAAAAAGATTTTAGTGAACCACAAGTGTTTTAAGGAAGATTAGAAAAATCTCAAAAATGGGCTGAGACAGTGAACCTCAATGAATGAAGAAGCAGCAATGAGATATCACCTGACATTGACACTTTTAGCAAAATTCAATGAAACAAAAAACAAATATTGGTGAGGTTTCAGGTAGATAGCAACACTTTTACATTGCTTGTGGGACTTTAGAATTATACAACTTCTATGGATATCAGTGTGGCACTTCCGTAGGCAAATGAGAATTCAAGTACCTGAAAATCTAGTACATACCCTAAAGAAATCAAGAATACAACGTGAACAGACATATACTATGCTTATCGCAGCAATTTCTATAGTAGCAAAGACATGAAAAGAACCCCAAACTCCAATTATAGAGAAATGAATAAACAAGCTCTGCTACCTTCGTTCTATAGAATATTATGCATCAAAAAAGAACAATGACAACTCTCTTAAACACTGCAAGACATGGAGAAAGCTAGAGAATATTATGCTTAGCAAACTCAGGCAGTTTTGCAAAGATAATATTTAACAACACCAGTGTTATAAGGAAAAACAAAGACAAAGAAGTGTTTATATGCCAATAAATAAAACTTTGATAACAGGAGGCCAGAAATGGGACGAGAATCAGGTAGAGGGGAGGGAGAAGTGAATGAGGAGGAAGGGGAGAAGCTGAAAAGAGCTACATGTATGGAGGGTTTAACAGGATGTTATTGTTGATGATTTTATTGATGATGATGTTATTGCTGTTGATTTCATTTCTTGAAATGGGTTGTGTAAATTATATATTATGTATCTTTAAAAACAAAACAACCCCCCCCCAAAAAAAAAACAAACTTCCAGATTCCTCCTTATCCCTCAAGTCTGTAAAGTGGTTTGAGTGATTTATGCAAAAGAAGAGAAAAGTAAAATGGAAATGGACTTAAGTCTTTAGTGGCAGAGAAGTTCATCTCAAACAAAGAAAAATGAAGGAAGGAAACTAGCTGAAGTCCAAACTGGTAGAAGAAGACTATAGATGTACCATTGATGTGATCTCACTGGTTTATCCTTTCTCATTTTAAGTGAGCATCTTGGCTTCTGCAAGCTTTCTACTTGATGGGTGACAGAAGTGTGCAAAGGTTAGCTAGCTCAAAGAGCTAATTTTTCCGTCAGTCTTTTAAATGAGATTAGTACTAGTGAAGATGATTTTATGGACCAAATCTTAGCAAGGTACTAGCCTTGGATTTTCCAATATGATCCAGAGCTGAAGATCCAAGGAGATCTGTTGAGCCAGGTCAGTTCAAGGCAGAGATAACAGCTCAGCAGGTTACAGTGACTTTCTTGGGGTTCCTAAAAGGCTCATCCTGATGTATTTCTCGAAGGACAGAAGATGATCATAGGGGGTTATTAGGAAGAAGTTTGAAGAAAATGTAAAACTGCACTGGTGAGGAAAATGTCAGAAAAGTTGTACCAAAGATTTTTCCCCCTCTCACAACAATGTATCTGTTCATTCTTTTCGGAATGCAGGAGTTTTCCTATGAGAATTTTGCTGGGAAACCTTACCTCTTCACCCTACAGCCCTAATCTTGCCCCTTCAGATTTCTTTATGTCCCCAGACTTCCAGAAAACTTAAAAGGAGCAGAATCTAAGTTCCTCAGCTGCCATGTTGCCCTGGGGTCGGTTGAAGAGTACAGATTTCACTGAGGAACGGTTAGTGATGGAGACACCACCTTCAAGAGTGTACAGCCCTAGAGGAGGAGGATTTGTTGAGAAATAACTTCATATTTTGATACTTGGGTTTAATAATGGTTTCTTTGATCTTGTGGCAATATTTTTATATTACCCATGTATTCCTAAGTATCTGGGGATCTATAAGAATAAGTTTTTCTGTATTTTTGGCTTGTATTGTTCTATTTGGTTTTTGCTTATCCATATTAGGGTGTATCTCAGAGGTGTCATCCCATTGGAGGTCACACTCTTGAAGTTACATTTTATGTTTTTCCATTTTTCTATGTATAAAACCCAGGATTGATGAACCTATAGAGATAGCAAGTAGAATAAGCCTTCCTGGGTGGGGGGCTGGGGGGTGGGGTTTACAGTGGGTGTGGTGTGGTGAAGGGAGACATGTCAAGTAGTTCATGTAGAAACAGAATGTGTGGAAACTTATTGTGGTAGCAATTCTGTAATTCTGCTCGACGTGATTCAACTATGGAATGATATGATATATATATTAATAGTATATATTATTATTATGAGTACGTAATCACTTTGAGATCAATAACATTCCCTGTGATCTAGCTAAAATATCGATTCTAATCTATATCCGGGATGGAAGACGCAGATCTCTTAGCAGGGTATAAACCTATAATGAAACAGCTTGAAGTCTTGGTATTTCCCAGGTTTTTAAAATCTCATTTCACACAGTCTTCAATTACAGTAACATCAGCCTCACTTGTTCAGCTATCACTTCCACATCTGTAGTCTAGGCCAGATCTTTTCACTTGTCTTTCTTTTTTAAGATATTTGAAATACCACTTTATTTTAATGAAAAGGAATGGGAATGACATTTAACAAACAAAACGTCACCACTAAATATTGTGATGTGACTGTAGCAGTCTTGTATTGAATTTCAAGAGGAAAGAATGCGTTCCCAAACAGCCAGATAAACGTGGGTCCAAAAAAAAAAAGAAAAAAAGGTTTTTAACTCCACACTCACTCCGAAGCCCATTCATCTCCTTTTCACTTGAGTCTTAGATAGCCAACTAGATACTATGCTTCTTTTCACAAACGTGGCATATTGGCATGCCAAGAACTTTTTACCTTCAAAAGTGCTGTATTTCTTTTACTTCTTATTCATCCAGTAGCAACACAGTATGTCTAGTTGTTAAATCAGAAACCTGAAAGTAATTCTTAAAAAAAATAGTTTTATTGATACATAATTCACATATCATACAGTTCCAATAGTTTAGCTAGAGTTGCATAATAGCTAGAGTTGCATAATCATCACCACAATCAATTTTAGAACATTTTTTTATTTCTCGGTACTCACTGTTAGTTTTCCATTTCCTCGCAACTCCCCTGCCGTGCCCCTAGGTAGCCCATTAATCCAGTTACTATCTCTATAGATTACCTATCTTGGGTTTCATATACAGAAAAACATACCAAACAAAACTAAGAATAACAATATAAAACAGAAAAACCCATATTGAAAAGAAAGCAGAAAACATTAAAAACTACAACAAATTTTAAGTGGGTCAAATGGAGATCAATTGATGAGATATTACATTTTAACATAACTACATCTACAGTTACCCACTTACAGTCGTACTCTGTCTGGTAGCAAGGCTTAATCCGGAGGACCCTGCAAAAATTGATTTGGGATTTCTGCTGTCATCTATAGCCTTCTACAAATCAGGTGTTCAGAATATAACCTCTAATATGGTTTCCTCCTCTGGAACTTTTATTATTTACCATCCTTTGATCCCGCAGGATGTTATCTTCCTCCAGGTGGACTTCGCTGATGCCCCACATAGGTGGCTGCTATGCTTGAGCCTGTTGCTGCAAGCTCTGTGCCAATTTATCCTGCCCAGGGTTTTACTTTTTTTTTTTGCCAACCCTGAATGCTACTACTGTGGATATTTGATTGTGGATCCAAGTAAAATGAAATTCTGACAATTTAAATCTATTCTCTGTTATTGTGATCTTACTGGTCCAATTGTGAGGATGTGTGTGTGTGTGTTTCAAATTCTCTTCATTTTCATCATATCACAGGTTTTTGTGAGCTGTCCTTCAATCCTGATGCTGTGCTCTACTTCATATAATCCAGCTTCTTAATTTATTTGCTCAGATTTAATAAGTATTAATTGGTAAAAGGATATAACCTAATGTACACCATGCAGTATTCCCTTGTTCTGTTCGAAGGAATGCTTTTGGTCCATGTGCAGGTTCCACAAGCACAGTGGAATGCTCTGGAATTCCTGATCTTTGTAATGTTACCCATAATTTGTTATGATACACACAGTTGAATTCCCTGGCATAGGTAATGAAATACGGACAAACATCTTTCTGGTATTCTCTGCTTTCAACCAAGATCTTCTGAAATCAGCAATTAAATCCCTAGTTTGGAATCTTTGGAATCGAACTTTAATTTCTGGAAGTTTCCTGTTGATATAATGCTACAGCCATGTGAAAATTATCTTCAGCAAAATAGATTGCCAAGTTCTGTTAGTTCTACCCCTTGGATACATTTTTATTCCATCCTCTTCTTTCTCTTCACAGGTTCTAGGCTTTGGCAGTGTGTTTCTTGTCTGGCTTGTAGCCACAGCTGCTGAGTGATCTCCCTGTTCTGCAGTGAGCACACTACCCTGCTACCAAGATGTTATAAAAATAGTCACTTAAGTTCCTGAGATTTCTCTTTCCCTTCAGAAGAAAATAAAAAGTCCCTAGCAAAACATAACAGGCTTTTTCCGCATCATTTGATTCCTGCCTACCTCTGAGCCTTGTATCCTATGTTCTGCCCACCCTGCTAAGTGGCATACACTGTCATTCATCTTGTACTTTTGTCACCAAGTTACTTACTTTCCATCTTACAATTACAAAATGCTGGAAAGCAGTAAAATGGTTACAAAAGTCAACTTTTATGAAGTTAGGTTTGATATTTTCTCATCTTTACTTTCTAAGCTTTGCTTTATAAATAAAGAACAATGACATTGAAAGTTTTTTGTAAGTGTTGAAGGATTGTGTTATCCGTAGCACGTGCACACACGCACACACACTCACTCACTCACTCACACAGGCACTCCCTCTACCTTCAACCCACCCATCCACCCAGATCTGACTCCCTTCTTGTGTGCTCCCACAACACATAATGCACACCTGTTTTCATGCAACTTATAGAACTGTTTTGCAATCGTCTTTTGATTACTTTTATCATCACTAGACTGTTAACGCTTAAAAGGTACAAAATTGCTATTCAGTAAATTATCATGAGTCATGTCATTTGAGTGGGTAAATTGAGCCATTTTGGGTGCTAATTTGGCACGTAGGAAGCCTTCCTCTCTCCACCTTGCAGATGTGCTCAGATTGGGTTCTAAACTAATAGTTAGATTTCTTGTTCCAGATTGCTTTTTCTTGCCCAGGGCACTCTTCTCATATTCTGAGAACAGTGATGTTCCTCATGTTCCACAGACTGGGATCTGTAGCACTGGGTTCACTCAGGGTTATGTGTTACAGGGTACACAAAATACTAACAGCAATAATGAACAAGCAGGTGCCAGTTAATGGACTCTATTTGTTTTAATTTTAGAAAGTAAATGAAGCAAAGAAAACTCAGCAAGAATATTATGAAACAGAGCTAAAAAACCTGCAAAATAGATTGGAAAAAGAGGTGTCCCAATTAAATGAGGCTCACTCTAAGACGCTGGAAGAATTAGCTTGGAAGCACCACATAGCAATTGAGGCGGCCCACAGTAATGCAATTAAGAATAAGAAGAAATTGCAAATGGTGAGTACAAGTGCAAGTTAGCAGCACTGCAGTGTAAATTGATGGGAGTTTTGTAACGAACCAGTATGATCTGTAATGTGGAGTCATTGTTTGCTTCACTTGGAGAGATGCTATCTTTCCGTGGTGGAATAGTGAATTAAGCATTGGGTTACTAACCAAAAGATCAGAAGTTCGAGCCCATCAAACCACACCAGCTGATCATCAAGGGAAACTATCTGCACCCATGAAGATTTTAGCCTCAGAAATCCGATGGAACATTGCTACTCAGACCTTGGTTGTTATGAGTAGGATCCATTTGATGGCAGTGGAATTATTTCAAAGGGATTATTTTTTCTGGTTGGTTTTATCCTTGTACTGTCAAAGAATAACATACATGAAAGCTCTTGATATGGCATGTAGTGTTTTGAAATGATGTGCGGCATTTTTATTTTGTGTTGGGGGCTTCAAAATGTTCATGGAAAATGAATTAAAATATGATGGAATCTTTCTAGGACCATTTTGAAGCCCCTTTTATAAGCTGTCTCTTCATGAGATAACATTGGATGCTCTCCAGGACACCTGAACTAGGTGAAGCACTGATTCTCCTGCAAACAGTCTCATTCCCTCTGGACATGAGCTCTGCTGTTCCTCAGTTAGGCCAGCAGCCTATCCCTCACAGGACAGGAGATGCGCAAGCAGAGTGCTGGACAGCTGCAGCCTCATGCTTTCTTTATAACTGGTCATCCTGGACCCCAGATGCTGCTCCTCAGAAACCTCTTCTGACAGATGAAGATAAAATCCATTTTATAGTAGCACTATGAGAATTAAATGTGATAAAGTGGTCAGTATCATTTATGTGTCCTAGTGTATAGTGATAAACAGTTGTTAGTATTAGTATAATACATAGTATTACTATGTGCCAGTCAGTACAATAATGTTTTATACATACATACATATATATAAATATATATGTTTAACTTTAGTCCTGACACCACTGTGGGTTTGATTACGCTACCCATTTTGCTAAAGAGGACTAAGAGTGAGGTAGAGGTTAAATAACGTGTTCAAACATAGGCGGCTAGTAAGAATCCATCAGACCTTGACCTCAGGTTCCAGATACCTAGCTTAAAGGTAGTTAACTACTACGTCACTTAGGGATTTAACAGTGATGGTTATTATGTTTTCTGTAATAGTGATTTATAGTTTACAAGTATATTCCTTAATTCTTGTGACTTGAAGATTACTATGAATTTTAATGTACATATGCAAAATCTTGTGCCTTAATGGTTAACCTTTCAGTTGCTGACCAAAAGATTGGTGATTTAAAGCCACCCAACAGCTCTGCTGGAGGCAAACCTAGAAATTGGCTCCAAAGCTCGCAGCATGGAAAACCCAGTGGGGCAGCTCTACTCTGACACATGGGGCCAACGTGTGTCAAACATTGACCCGCTAGCACCTCACAACAAACATGAGGAAATAGTATGTTGCTCTTAAGTTGATGCTAGCTCATAGCAACTTTATAAGACAGGGTTTCCAAAGCAGACCACCTGCTCTTTTGCCAGTGGAGTGATTAATGGGTTCCAGCCACTAACAGTTTGTGTAGCAGTCGAGGGCATGACTACTGTGCTACCAGGGCTCCTTTGAGATCGGGTAAGGAAACCTAAATAATTCACGCACAGCTTCAAACCTAGTCAGCAAAAGTGGGGTGTGAGTTGAGACATTCTGCCTCTATGTCTCTTTTATAGTACAACTAACTGGCAAAGAAATATGTAAAGTCTAAACATAGTTTTAAAAGTTATATGAAAGTTTCTTTTGGAATACCATTTCAATATGAACTTACTATTACATGTTTATATTGCACTTAACATCATACTATTTCTGAAGGTTGTAGGTACAATTTTCTCCACACTACCTCACTGTTACAAGACCAATTTAGATAGCTTTAATTGTGTGTGTACACATATACACAGCACCTGTGAATATGCACGTGCTTGCCAACTTTGAATGTACTTATTATGTATTCAAGATTTTATAGTAAAATATTTAGTGGCAACTGATTGCTGCTTCGGTAATATTTTTCATATGTATCTTTTATTATTTTTATTTACATATCCTGCTTTTACCTGACCCTTATCTTCTCTTAATGGAATGTATAAATTGCAGGTGTCCTGCCTTGGGTTTTTAGTCCTCTACATGAAACATTAAGTGCTATCAAAGCATTTTTTCATCAATATTATTTTTGCCTCATTACCTCCTAATCATTTCCTCACCCTTTTAAATCTTAATTTCTGAGTCAGCCTTCTTTCAGCCACCTATATATATCCTATAGCCTTTCTCTAAACCCTGGTTGCTAAAAGACATGACATGGCATGTCCTATAAGTGAACAGTTCAAACCCTATTTTTTTAATAGTTTTATTAGGGGCTCATACAACTCTTATTACAATCCATACATACATCAATTGTGTAAAGCGCATTTGT